CATTCGATCCATAGAGGTCCAGAAGATAAGTTCTAGCTTGGATCCAGTTGTCTCCTGACAAAAGCGCCAAACCACTAATGACCTTGCAAACTTTAGTATGACAATAACGAAGAATATAAGGAGGAAGGTGGTTATGATCGATTCTCGCACTATCCGCATGCTGTTCCAACAAATCCAAGAAATCCTCCATGCGCTTCCCTTTAAACAAAGGAGCGGAAGGAGTTCCCGGCGTTGGCATGGGTACGCTGAGTGTGGCAAGGCTGACAATGCTAGACTCTGAAGAAGAAGGAGGACTCATAATGAAAGTTTGTAACAACGAAAGGACTTAGCGGATAAGAAGCGTACTCGCGCTTGTACGAATACAAGTGATTATATGCGCCTAAAAACCAAAGATTCAGCTTTAAATGAGGGAGAAAGACGTACCACGAATTTCCTCAATGAGTTTTTGCAGTTGCAAAACGGAAAACCAAACCCCCTGTCTCGGTCACCACTGTGGAAGCGAATCGTTCCTCCAGATGGAAGCTAAGAGTTCCTAAAAAAGGACAGGTGATCTGGTCGTTTGCTGAGAAATGAAGTAAAGTAAAGCCAAACAAAGAAAAAAAAGAGAAACACGTCAAAGGAATTCTACGTATGTAGAGGGTTCAGAGAAGAGGATGTCGAATGGACAAGGGGACATCAAAGAGGGACAATGCGCAGATAAGCGCTCGAAAGGGACTTTCGATGGCGGAGAACGTGGCATGAGAGGATTCCGGTAAAAGAAAGGCAACTCAGCTGAACACGTGTTTGGGACGTGTCGAATCAAAACACTTGTAATTACTTGATACGCCTCGAACGTATAACTTAGAGAACTTGAAGATGACTTGTAGAAATGTCGTGTAAACTTTTGAATTTCTTGAGGAGACGAGTGGACGACTTAAGAATCCGACTATGAAAGAGGGGGAAAGAAGACGACTCCATTCGACAGGTGGGAGGACACCTTATAAACAGTACAAAGATAGAAAATCACAAGGCAACGCACGTACTCTCATGCTGCCAGACCAATTCTTTGGGGAAGAACGTCAAAATGTTCGAAGAGGAACAAAAAAAAGTACAAAAATAGAAGTGACATCACCCACTCGATTCCTAGGCAAAACCTTCGAACCAGGCATGACTCGGGGAACATACGACACTTGGAGAGGTCTATTTACGTGCGCAACTGCCGCCTTCAGTGTGGACATCCCAAGCGTCGATGCTCTACCCTACCGTCTGGCCCTCAGATTGAGCTTCGGGTCGGTGAGATCTGTCATAAGTACAAAGAAATAAAAGCGGAAGGGAGTAGTGATCAATTCAAAATAAAAACGTACAAAAAATAATGCAAGCGTCCGAGTCCGAATCCTTCACGAGAGGTGCGGCGCGAACAAAGCCAAATGATGATGTCATACGTCTTGTCAAATCAAAGTCTCCCTAATACTCGTTCAGTTTCAAACCCGGCGAAGGTTCGTAAAATAAAATAAAACTGATAAAAATGTACGTAGGGAGAAAAATGAAATATGGAGTGCGTCATGAATGAAACAAGTCGCACTTCCACACCGCCAGTGAGCGGTCGACGGTGGTGGTGTCGTGTTAGTTGGGTGGGTGGTAATAGAGGTGGTGGGGTATACATACCATATACAATATGAAAGGACGACAACGACATTAGTCGTCGTCGTCATCCCATCACCATTGATCCATCATGGTCATGAGTGCTCATTGTCATATGTTGATGATGGTGGTGGAGGGTGTTCACAGTGGGTGGGTGGGTGCTTGTTGCCGTTTCTTGACAGCGGTGATGGGTGTTCATTGACGGGGTGCTCGGCCCTCATTTCCGTTCAAGGATGGTGGGCAGTGGTTGTGGGCGCTCACAAAGTGGTGGGTGAGTCCCAGTGAAAGTCTACTCCGCTGCTGGCCACAAATATCTGCTAAATATCTGAGATGGTCCGTGGCGCCGAAATTCACTGACCAGCTGGGATTTTGTCCCTTTTGCGGATTTTTTTCTGCAATTGTCTGCTCTTTTCTAACGAACAACAGCGTGAAATGCGGAAATTTCGGCGGCTTCCCCTTCTAGTCCGGTCTCATCTGCATTTCTCCGTCCACATTTGTAGGCATAAAATCTTTC